TGGGAGGAGGCAGGACCGGCAGGACCCTGGCCGACAAGTGAAGAGGCTGAAAGGCAGACACCTGTGAGAGCCGCCCTTCTTTATTGAGCACCTCCCATGTGCTGAGCAGCCTCTTCTCCCCCGACCCCTGGGACCCACACAGCTACTGCCGGGGCAGAGGGACCGCGACTGGGCCGGAGGTCCTGGCGAGGTCGGGAGCAGTGCCACGCCTTGGCTGGGATCAGGCCCAGAGCCCATGCCCTCGACCGCTGGGCCATCCCGCCCCTCGCTGGGTGTCCAGGGGCCTGGGTGGCAGCCGGGTGCCTCAGCACTCCACACCGTAGCGGTCGAAGTGGCGCAACAGCAGGCCGATCTCAAGGTGCACGGTGCCACCCGCGGCTGTGTGCAGGCGATAGCGGTCGGCCCCACTGTAGATGGTGTCCCCATGCAGCAGCTGTGGCCCGCCACCCACAAAGGCCCGAGCCAGCTGCTCCCGCCAACTGCCCAGGGGCCGCCACGTGGGACAGGCCAGCTGGTGGGTGCCTGGGCTGCTGGGCACGTGGCAAAATCCATAGCCTGCCAGCTGGCAGCGGCCAAAGCTGTCCTGAGACCACACCTGGAGATGGAGCCGGGGCCAGCCTGTGGGAAGCAGGGAGAGAGGAAAGGAGGAATGGGCAGGGCGCAGCCTTTGGCTCCTGGATCCCCCCTCCTCCACACTCAATAGAGTCCCCAGGCTCAGCCCTTCCCCCGGGGTTTCTGCTCCTGGGGTTCTACCCCAGCTTTCTCTCTGGGCTCCCACCCTGACCCACCCCCACCCAACGGCCAAAGGGATCTTTCCAAATCCATGTTACTTTCCTGTTCATAGTCCTTCCGTGGCTCCCCAGTACCCCCAGAATACAGTCCAACCTCCTCAACATTCAAGGCCCTTCAGATCAGGCCTCTGCTGACTTCCCCCCTGTGGTCTCTTCCTCTGAGAGCCCATATCGGGGCAGCCTGCTGCTCCTACAGTTCCTAGGTCAGGCCCTTGGGCCTTGTCAGGGACACCCCTTGCCTTCCTTCCCTGTGGCCCTGCCCTGTCCTTTCTGGGCTGAGGGCTTCTTTCTTGGCCCCTCCATGCCATCTCCCATCCAGCAGCTGGAAGCACCTTTCTCCCCTTCTGCTCTGTCCTCAGAACACAGTGCAGCTCCTCAGCCTGATGTTCAAAGCCCTTAGTGATCTGCCCTATCTCATCTCGTGCTGTGCTGGAGCCTGTTCTGGCCACCCAGGGACACAGTGGTGAACAGACAGCAGACAAAAACCCCTGCCCTTGTGAAGCTGCCATCCTAGACAACGAACATAGTAAATAAGCAAATTATAGGGTATGTCAGATGGTGATAACTGCTCTGGAGAAAAATAAAGCTGGGCAGGGTGGGGATGGGGGTATAGCTTTAGAAGGGAGGTGATCCAGGAAGCTTCACTAAGAGGGTGACATTTGAGCAACTAAAAGGAGGGAAGGGAGCAGGCCAGGTAGACATCTAGAGGAAGAACGGTCCCAGCCAGAGAGAACAGCTTGTGCAAAAGCCTCGAGGTGGGAGCATGCCTGGTGGGGACAGTGTGGCTAGAGCAGACTGAGTAGGGAGGAGCGGAAGAGGTGACAACCGGATCATGTCACAAGAGGACAGCCTTGTGATGCATGATAAGACGTTGGCTTTTACCCTGAGTGAGATGGGGACCACCAGAGGGTTCTGAGCAGAGGAGAGATGTGACCTGACTTAGGTGTTCACAGGGTCCAGCTGGCTAGAGTTGGGGTGCAGATCATGGGGGTTGGGGATGGGGGAACCAAGGATGAGGCAATTCTAACAGTCCAGGGGAAAAAGATCAACGTGAACAGATCATGGTGCTGGGTGAGAAAGGGGTGCATGTGGGATTTGGGATGTATGAAAGGGGACCCCCCAAAACAGGAATCTATTTATTAAAAATTGTGCATTTATTCTTAAATGTTTCAACTTCCATCACCTTCAAGGTACTCTCCATTTGATGCAGTACACCTATCAAGATGCTTTCCCCATGGCTCAAAAGTTTTTGATTTCATCAGTTTTGAGATCTTTTAGTGCTTCTGTTGCTTTTTTGTTTCACCTGTTCCACATTGGCAAAATATTTCCCTTTGAGGACTTTTCTCATCCAGGGCAACAAACAAAAAAGTCACCTGGGGCGAGATCAGGTGAATAGGGAGGGTGGGGCACCGGGGTCATGCCATTTTTGGCCAAAAACTTGGGTGTGGGCAGTGCGTTGTCATGGTGGAAGACCCAGTCACCTGTTTGCCACGACTCTGGATGTTTCTTCCAGAAATCGTGACACAAACTTCCCGATAAAAATTTTGATTGACCGTTTGATCTGGAAGAACAAATTCCGAGTGTACTACAAAGGGGCCACCCTCCGAAAGATAATTTTGGTTTTTGGGGGGGTCCCCCCTCGTATTTCAAAATAGAGCCAATAGGATTTCCTGATGGAATGGGGACTTGAGGAAAGGATAAGCAAGGATGATGCCACCACTGGGGGACCAGCGGCCTGGGAGCAGAAAGGACAGGGCCGCCCGCCTCATCTCCAGTCTGTCGCCCACATGGCTCCCAGAAAGGTCTTTTCAAAGTGAGATCTCACTTGTCTATTGCCTGCCCTGGCTCCACAGTGCTTTCAGGAGATGGCCTTAGCTCCTCAGCCTGGCATTCAAGGCTCTGCATGGCCTGTCCCCTGTCCACCGCACCCCCTGCTATCTTCCCACTCTCCCTCAGTCTTCCAGATGCCTCTGGCTCAATCTCCCCTTCGAGCCTTCCACATGTAGCTCTCTCTCTACCTAAAGACCTCTTCTATCCCTCTACTCTATTAGCTCCTACTGGCTAATCAGAGCAAAGCTCAGAAGGCTCCTCCTCCAGGAAGCTCTCTCTCACCTCCCCAACAGAGTTGACTCCCACAGGCTCTCATAATCCCGCATCCCAGCCCTGCCCACTCTGGGCTGCCACTGTCTGGAGACAGGTATGTCTCCCTCATGGGATGGTGAGAACAGGGCTGGGGGCTGTCTTGATCACCAATGCCTCCCTGGCATCACCCGAAATAGGCTGGGTACAGGGCAGGCACTAAGCAAATATCATGTATATTGCTGAACTATATGGCACATTTACCTAGGCTCTTTCCTGGAATCTACTCATCTCCTGTAAGCTGTTTTTCTGTTGTTTTTTTTTTGAGTTGGAGTCTCACTCTGTTGCCCAGACTGGAGTGCAGTGGCCACTCCCGGCCACTGCAGCCTCGACCCACGCCCAGACTGTTCCTGGTCAACTGGAACTCCAGACTCTTGCTTACCAATAGAAAGATGCCAGGGAGGTTCCTGGGGACCTGGAATCCAAGATTCCTGGGTCCACCTCAAAAATACATCCTAAAAAATGTAGGATCCCCTAAACCCAAAGTCCGAATTCTTACCAGCTGGACGACCTAGCTCTCCTTTCTGATAGATGCTCCAGTGATTGGGCATCTTCTATAATGGATGCACAAGTGACTAGCCCTCCTCTGTTAGGGGCGCCCCTATGACTGCCCCTCCTCTGTATTGTGTTACAGTGGCAAGCCCTCCTCTGTGATGCATGCCCCCAAGGGAACACCGAGGAGGAATAGTACGGTGGGCAAAAGACATGAAATGTGGAACAGGAACCTTTTGGACTTGTGCTCCATGAGTGAGTGTGCTGGGCTCTGGCGAGATCCTTCCGCTTCAGCCTTCCAAGTAGCCGGAATTACAGGTGCACGCTACCACGCCCAGCTAATTTTTTGATTTATTGTAGAGATGAGGTCTTGCCAAGTTGCCCAGGCAGGTCTCGAACCCGCGGGCTCAGGCAATTCACTCACCTCAATCTCCCAAAGCGCGGGATTACAGGCTGAGCCACCGAGCTGGCCTAAGCAGTTTTTTTAACTAGAAATGGTTTTCTGAGGCCTCTCCTCCCAGAATGCTCATTTCCCCTTTGAGCAGTGCCTCTGCTTTCAAGCTGGGAGCCCTTCCTGAAGAAGGCAGCCAGCCCTTGCATCTCTCTCTCTTTCTCAAAATGCCCCTCCCAGCTTCCTCTTTCCTGGAGACACTCCCCTGGTTTGTCCCTTTACTGAAGGCCACCTCCCCCAACCCAGCAACCCCCCACCTTCTCTCCCTCCTCCTCCCCCTTGGCCTCTGCTCCAATCCTCCACACCAGGAAAGGCCTCCCTCAGCCTCTGCAGGGCCTGGCTTGGCTGGGAAAGGGACCCACAAGGGATGGGAAGATGGGAAGCAGGGACAGTCTTGGTGTTCCCAGCCCCAGAGGCTTCGGGGGTGACTGGCCCTACTCCCTGCAGCCTGGCCCTGGGGTCCACACCTGGTACCCACCTTGAAGACCTTTGGTGGCAAAATGCAGGTCGATGGGGTGGGACCAGTAGGCCATATCCCCTATCTGAGGGGTGTCCACCTGTGTCTGGCCCTCCCGCATGCCGGACAGGAGTTTCCATGCTGCCCCTGCAATGACAACCGAGACACAGTTGGGGTAGGGAGGAATGGGAAACAGCCACCAGGAAGAGGACGCTGCTGTGGCTTTGGGACTGTGTTTCTCCCTGGCGTCTGGTGGTAGGGGCTGCAAAGTGTGGACTCTGGAGCCAAATACCTGGGTTCAAATCCTGGCACTACCTCTTCCTGCCTGTGCAACCTTGGGCAAGTTACCTTTCTTTGCCTCAATCTCCCCATCTGTAAAGTGGGTGAGCAGTAATGCAGTCCTTGTTGTCTTTCTTTTCTTTTCTTTTTCTTTTTTTTGAGTTGGAGTCTCACTCTGTCGCCCCGACTGGAGTGCAGTGGCACGCTTCCGGCCACCGCAGCCTCGACCTGCTGGGCTCTGGCGATCCTTCCACCTCAGCCTTCCAAGTAGCTGGAACTACAGGAGCGCGCTACCACGCCCGGCTAATATTTTGATTTATTGTAGAGATGAGGTCTCTCCAAGTTGCCCAGGCGGGTCTTGAACCCGCAGGCTCTGGCAATCCACTCACCTCAGCCTCCCAAAGCGCGGGATTACAGGCTGAGCCATGGACCCCTGCTGTCTTTGTTTTCTGTTGCTTAGAACAGAATGTCTGAAACTGGGTAATTTATAAGGAAAAGGAACTAATCTCTTACAGTTATAGGAGACAGAAGTCCAAGGTTGGGGGCCCCATGTGATAACAGCCTTCTTGCTGAGGGACTCCCTACAGGGTATCACATGGCGAGGGGGTTGAGCATGCTAACACGCTAGCTCAGGACTCTCTTTCTCATTTTATAAAGCCACCAGCTCCCCTCCCATGATAACCCATTAATCCATTAACCCATTAATCCATGAACAGGGGCTCTGAATGGATTAATCACCCTTTAAAGGCCCCACCTCTCAATACTGCCACCCTGGGGATTAAGTTTCAACATGAGTTTTGGAGGGGACAAACATTCAAACCATAGCACTCGGAGTTTTGTGAGACAATTAGATGAGTTAATACAAGCACTTGGAACACCGCCTGGGGCATAGTGAGTACTGGGCAAGTGTCCAATGTCATTTTATTACACTTCTCACCCCACATTTAGAAGCCTAGTCCAAGGACTGAGGGGGCAAAGGTGCCCTCCAGAAGCACATGGTGAAAGACAGTCATAGCGACCATCCTACTGAGTGGTGACCATAACAGCGAAAATGCACCGAGTGCTTGCTAAGTCCCAGATGCTCTGCTAAGCACTTTAGACAATGCTTTCATTTAATCTGCCCTCTAGGACTCTTAATCCCCACTCAGACCCTCGTTCACAGATCCTCCATCATGGCCCACAAGGCCCCACATGGCCTGGCTTGTGCCCTCTCCGCCTCCCTTGCCACCCTCTAGCCTCACTGGTTCCACTTCTGTTCCCCCACCTCAGGGCCTTTGCACTGACTGTTTCCCTGCCTAGAAAGTTCTGTTCTTAGATATCCCCATTCCCAGTTTTTTTTGGTTTTGTTTTTAATCCTTCAGGGCTTAGCTCAAGTGCCACTTTCACAGAGAGGTTCTCCCTGACCCTGCTATTCCAAAACTAGTCCCTGCCACATCATCCCGTTTCTTTTCTTCCTAGCTCTTACCCACTATCTGTAATCGTGCTCATTTCTTTATCTGCTTATTTATTTTCTTTCTCCTCAACGATAAGCCCCAGGAAGGAGAGACCTTGTACTCTGCTGGAACCCCAAGACCTCAAACCTAGCTCTTAGTACACAGAAGGTGCTCAGTAGATGTCTGCTGGATAAATATGTGACTCTAGGAGGTGGGTGGTAATATAATCCCCATTTTATAGGTAAAGAAACGGGCTCCGAATAGCTAAGTCACTTGGTCATTCATGTCATGAACATTTATTGAGCTCCTAGTATTTGCCAAGTACTGTTTTCAATGCTGGTGATATAGTACTGACCATAGCAGACCAAGGTCCTATAGTGGAAATGAATTCAGACTCAGCCCCTAAGTGCAGAGCCCATGCTTTTTTTTGGAGCGGGGGGTGGGTGGGGGGGAGTAGGAGTCTCTCTCTGTCACCCAGGCTGAAGTGCAGTGGTATGTTCACAGCCACTGCAACCTCGACCTGCTGGGCTCAGGCCACCCTGCCTCAGCCATCCAAGTAGCTGGAACCACATGCGTGCCGCCATGCCCAGCTAATTTTTTGATTTATTGTAGAGATAAGGTCTCGCCATGTTGCCCAGGATGGTTTTGAACCCGTGGGCTCAGGTAGTCCTCTTGTCTCCACCTCCCAAAATGCTGGGATTACACGTGTGATCCACTGCATCCATCTAGCCCATGCCTTTTATCCAACTGCTTCAGCGCTCTCTGCTGGATTGACACCCCCAAAACTCTCCAAAATAACAAAAATCAAGTTACTCATTACTCCCTTCTGGGCTAGGTGAGGTAAACACCAGAATCTGAGTCAGGCTTCTTACATGCAAGGTTTTCCAACAACCCCATGAAGGACAAACAAGGAAACCAAGAGGAAACAAGGCTCCAAGAGGAAACAGCATCTCCCCAGGGTGGGGATTAAGAGTAGATACAGACAGGGCGCAATGGTTCATGCCTGTAATCCCAGCCCTTTGGGAGGCAGAGGCAGGAGGATTGCCTGAGCCCAGCGGTTTAAGACCAGCCTGGGCAACTTGGCGAGACCTTGTCTCTAAAATAATTCAAAAAATTAGCTGGGTGTGGTGGTGTGTGCCTGTGGTTCCAGCTACTTGGAAGGCTGAGGCAGAAGGATCACTTGAGCCCAGCAGGTCGAGGCTGCGGTGGCCGTGATTGTGCCACTGCACTCCAGTCTAGGCAACAGAGTAAGACTCTGACTCAAAAAAAGAAAAAAAAAAAGGAGATTCAGACTAGAAACTAAGTCTCGTTCCAGTGCCTGCCTCCTATCCATCTGCTGGAGGATACTGATTTCCCAGGGAATCTCAACTACTTCCTCACTTGCCTGGGGCTGGGTATAATGGCTCACACCTGTAATCCCAGCACTTTGGGAGGCATAGGTGAGAGGACTGCCTGAGCCCATGGCTTCGAGATCAGCCTGGGCAAGTTACGAGACCTTGTCTCTACAATAAATAAAAAATTTAGCCAAGTGTGGTGGTGTGTGCCAGTAGTTCCAGCTATTCAGGAGGCTGAGGTGGAAGGATCAGCATGTTGAGGCTATGGTGGCTGTGAGTGTGCCACTGCACTGCAGCCTGTGGGTCCGAGTGAAACTCTGACTCAATAAACAAACAACAAAAAAACAAACCCAGATCTGGCAGCCTATGACCCTAACCATTACACTAAACAATAACACTGTAGGGCCTCAGAAGGGAGACATGACAAAAGGGGCCTCCAAGGTCCCTCCTATGTGGATGTATTTTTTTTGTTGTTTTGAGTTGGAGTCTCACTCTGTTGCCCAAACGAGTGCAGTGGCACGCTTCCGGCCATCACAGCCTCGATCTGCTAGGCTCCAGTGATCCTTCCGCCTCAGCCTTCTGAGTAGCCAGAACTACAGGTGCACACTACCACGCCGGGCTAATTTTTTTTGACTTATTGTAGAGATGAGGGCTCACCAAGTTGCCTGGGTGGGTCTCGAACCCGCAGCCTCAGGCAATCTACTGTCTAGGCCTCCCAAAGAGCTGGGATTACAGGTGTGAGCCATTATACCCAGCCCCAGGTAAGTGAGGAAGTAGTTGAGATTCCCTGGGAAATCAGAGCCCAGTCTGTGGATGTATTTGGATGATTGCCAGAATAGCATCCCTACCTCCTCACAAGATTTATGAATACCAGAAGGTGGCCTCTCCTCTATAAATCTGGGATGGAAACTTACACTTTGCAGTATGAACTAAAGGCCAGGCTCGGTGGCTCAGCACTTTAGGAAGCCAAGGTGGGGGGATTGCTTGAACCCATGAGTTCAAGACTGACCTGGGTAATACAGCAAGACCCTTCTATTTAAATCCATTAAAAAAAACCTAAAGCAGCCGGGCTCGGTGGCTCAGCCTGTAATCCCGTGCTTTGGGAGGCTGAGGTGAGTGGATTGCCTGAGCCTGCGGGTTCAAGTCCCACCTGGGCAACGTGGCAAGACCTCATCTCTACAATAAATAAAAAAATTAGCTGGGCGTGGTATTGCACGCCTGTAGTTCCAGCTACTTGGAAGGCTCACCAGAGAGGCAGAAGGATCACCGGAGCCCAGCAGGTCGAGGCTGTGGTGGCCGGGAACAGCCACTGCACTCCAGTCTGGGTGACAGAGTGAGACTCCAACTCAAAAAAAACAAAAACAAAAAACCTAAAGCCAGGCACAGGGACTCATGCCTGTAATTACAACACTTTGGGAGTCAGAGATGAGAGGATTGCCTGAGCCCAGGGGTTCAAGACCAGCCTGGACAACTTAGTAAGATCTTATCTCTACCACAAATAAAAAAAACAATAGCCAGGAGTGGTGGCGCACGCCTGTAGTTCCAGCTAGTTGGAAGGCTGAGGTGGAAGGATCGCCTGAGGCCAGCAGGTTGAGGTTGTGGTGGCCGTGAGTGAGCCACTGCACTCCACCCTGGGTGACAGAGTGAGACTACTACTCAAAATATTTTAGTAATTAATTAATTAATTTAAAAAATACAGTAGGAACTTAGTAAATGGAGACTGTTAACCAAAGATGAGGGAGGATCCCAGGATACCCCTAAGATGGCAAGTAGAATCCAGACAGGGGAATTAGGGCTGTCTAGTGTTTTGAAGTCTGGAAGTGTGTATATATATAGGGTTTATCCTATAGCCCCATTTTCTTTTTTTTTAATATTTGAGTCAGGGTCTCACTCTGTCGCCCGGGCTAGACTGCAGTGGCACTCCCAAAGTACTGGGATTACAGGCCTGAGCCACCACACCCACCGCTCATATCGTTAATGGCTGTGTATTCAG